GTTGTATTCAGAAAGTTTAGGGGTAGGAAGAATCTGACGTTTCCTTGTTCTGCAATGACCTGTTATTTCGGCCACGATCGGTTATCCTATCGGTAGCGAATCTATACACCTACCGAAAACCTCTACCACGTCATTTGTCCCGTTCATAGGGCAAAAACTAACTTTTGGAACCTGGTTATGAAGTCTCGCAACAACTTGGACTCTCCTTGCGCAATCCTGAATATATCGGCCTTTCGGGCCTGTACTTTTCTGGCCCCAACATGGGGCTTGCTGAAATAATCCGCAAGCATCTCAAAGGAGTCTATGAAATGCTCGGGTAAAAGCGAATACCACGTCAGGGCTCCCTTCGTAAGAGTCTCCTCGAATTTCTTTAGCAAAACGGACTCAATCTCAGGGGGAGCTAAATTGTTTCCCTTCACCGCCATTGTATAGGTGGTGATATGCTCCTGAAGATCCGAAGTCCCATCATACTTCGGCACGTCTGCATTTTAAACAGCTTTGGGATCATATCTAGTGTCGCTCTTGGTTTTTACGGCAATTGCGTGTACTTCTTTGAGTCTGGCCCTTTCAGCACTGGTGGTGCACCCGGAATTTGATCCATTCTGGAGTTTACTTCCCTCATAAATCGCATGAGTTTGATTTTAAAGGGATCACTCTCATTGTTGTGACTGGATCCGTTCGCCCCGGCCCCATCGGAGCCGACCTTGTCGCTCGGGGTGTTGTTGTCGACCCTCTGCGTCGTTTGGTTTACGGGAGCACCAAGAAGAACTAGGCCTCACCCATTCACGTTATTGTAGCGGCCGACAATGCCCTGCTTCAGTTCTATCATGACTTTATCCTGACGTGTGAGATGGCCTATAATGGCCTCCTATTGCTCTTGCAAGGCCCTGACTGCTTCGACGACATGTTATTCTCCAGCATCATAATGAGTTGCCTCCCGAACATGTCGTGGATATCGGTCGTCGTGGACCGGCATGGCCTTGTTCCCCTTGTTACGGGTATCACTGATTGAATCCTCGTGGTAAGGTTGATTTCCTTGGGCCTCGACGCTGTGTGTTGTTTAACACCATTTTCTGCTATTTTAAATAATTTTTGCTAAGAATAAAGATCAAAATAAGTTAGTAACGGATACAGGGATCAATTCAATTACACAACTGTCTATGCCCCACGCTGGGTGCCAAACTGTTTACCCGTAAAGCGGTACATTTGAATTTATATGTAGTTTATACAACAACAACAACAACCCAGTATAATCCCACTAGTAGGGTCAGGGGAGGGTAGTGTATACGCAGACCTTACCCCTACCCTGGGGTAGAGAGGTTATTTCCGATAGACAAGTGAATTAAGTTGATCCCAAAAAAAATGATAGATGAATTAGACAGAAATATAAGACTTAGTCTTAAAATCGAAATAGACGGCAGATATCTTGGTTCCGGGCGCACAGCTACCGGAAGCAGTAAGAACAATACAAATAAGCAAGAAAGTAAAAAATTATTGAGCTTTTGGTAGAATATTGTGTATGCTTGTTAGAAAATTCACCTCTTTTACAATGATGATAGAGCTCACTATTTATAATTGCATCTAGGGAACAAGGTCTTAGGATTAAGCTCCTCTTTAATGACAATTATGAGGGCTATTGAAGGGTGTGTAACTGTGGGTAGTCAATGCCATATTCTCTGTAACGGATCATGCACTTAATGCTGTAGAATATTCTTCATTGAATGTTACCGAATGACGGTATTAATTTTGTCGTTATGAGTATCATTCTCTCCGGTGACAAGCGAGATCATTGCTTTCGGGTTTAGCTATCTCCTGCCTTCGGTTCCACATATCGCTTTCTCATACTATCATTAAATATGAACATATTTTACCTCATACAAAGTTACAAGTAGAAACGATAGAAAAAAATATCATTATATTTTTTCTATGTCTATTTGAACTTTATGTTTTCAATGAGGTTTGTCTCTAATAAGTCGATTGCCTGCCGCCCGCTATTCCACGTACATAGTACGCCATATTCGACGAAAGAAAAACTCAACATAGAAAAAGAAAAAAGAAACAAAATACATTAATATGAATCTTGTTTCAAGGCTTTTTCTTGGACCAAAGCGTAGTTTAATACTAATAAGATGCCATTCCCCCGGTATCTTCTTTACCATCCAGCTTTGGTATTAAACTATCATCAGATATATCTACAATCAGCTACTTGGGGATCCAGGGGCGAATCAACCTTAAGAGGTAGGGGTACCACGGCATTCGTTCGTTTCGTTAAAATTCTTATTATGTATATAATATCTCGGTGAATAAACGTATAAATAGATAGAGTGACACCCAAAAGTCACAAAGTGGAAGCGGGTACCATTGGTTCAGCCTTCCCTTCGAAGGTTTTCCTTGGCCTTATGAATGCAAGTTTGAATCCTTGTTGGAGCAACTCCTTTGATTTTGGATTTTTGATTTTTTTTTTTTTTTACTTATTAAGATTTCTTTTATTTTCAGTTGAGCCCTATGCCTCACCTCTTTTTCTTCTTTTTCGGTTCTTTCCCTTATTTTATTACTTGCTAAGTCTCTCTTCTTCATTTTATAACTTTTGATCCTCATTTTGTTTCTATCATTATACCTTACTTTATGAACAATTATTTTTTATAGGTAATTTGAATTGATTTTAATTAGCATATAATTTCTTTATTTAATTGGTCTCATGAATGCAAGTTCGATTCCTTGTTGGAGCAACTCCTTTGATTTTTGATTTTTTCTTTTTTCTACTTATTAAGATTTCCTTTATTTTCAATTGAGCTCTGCGCCTCACCTCTTTTCCTTCTTTTTCGGTTCTTTCCCTTCTTTTATTACTTGCTAAGTCTCTCTTCTTCATTTTTATAACTTTCGGTCCTTGTTTTGTTTCTTTCATTATACCTTACTTTATGAACAATTATTTTCTATAGGTAATTTGAATTGATTTTAATTAGCATATAATTTTTTTATTTTTAATGAAACGATATTAATTTATATATTGGAATATAATTTGAGCAATATTTTCTATTGGGTTTTGAAAAAATAATTAAATGGCTTGATTGATAGTCGTTTTGAGTCGAATATCATAGGTTGAATGTTGAAGGTTTTTCTTTGAAAATAATTGTCATATAACTCAACAATTAAGATGGAAAAATAAACAAAGAACAATACAAGTAAATTAGTCTAGTCAAACAAAGAATATATAGTGTAGTTAAGGTACTCTTTAAGTAAATATTTATATTGGAGGCGCTCTTTCATGAAATGTTATTTTTCTTTTGCATTTTTATTGAAAATGTGTTTAAATTAAGCGTTAAAAATTTGAACTAAAATCAAACTTATTTGCTTTGTGAATGAAAGGTCTATTCAAATTAACCAAAAACTAACCGAACCGACCCATTATTCCTAATCTATCTTTGTAGCTAGTGATATGTATACTGTATGCATAACATGGTGGCACCCGCAACATTCGAGTCCTGGATCCGCGTATGAGGGGAGGGGATCAACCTAAAGTTGAATGGAGAAAGTTGATTTACCATAAGAGAGCCAGACCCAAAGCTATCTTTACTCTATGATTGCACTGTCATGGGAAGCTTGCTACCACAAACAGACTTCGCAAATGGGGTATCAATGTGCAATCACTTTGTGGGTTGTGTCAAGTCTTAGATGAAAGCAGGGATCACCTCTTTGGGGAATGCAGTTTTTCAAGAGGATTGTAGAGCAGACTATTACAGTGGCTGCAAATGCAAACTCAAATAGGACAGACATGAACGCTACTCTTCACATGGATAATGCACAAAGCTAAAGGGAGAACAACTGCAGCAAAGATTATCAAAATGACGTATGCGAGTTCGTACACGCAATATGGAAGGAAAGAAATAACAAAATTTTCAAAGGAGAAGCTAGAGAACAAAAGAGCATAGCGAGAGAGATAGCATGTTTATGTAACATTAGAGGCACGAGCGACATGAGGAACCAGCTACAGAAGTTGATCTTTTAAATATGCAATCCATAGCCCAGCTTTACATGTATAGACTTAGACTTAGACTGCTGGATAGAAGAACACAATAGGAGGTAGATTATTTTTTGTTTACTTAGAGTAACTAGCTGCGTGTATCTATGCTTGTTTTGTAATGTTTTCACTGGTGATTAATATAATATTTTAATTACTAAAAAAAAATGCTCCTTCGGTTCATCTGAAAATTTTAAGGATATTGAAACAGAAGTATAAAGGGTAGAGAAAGATTTAGAAAGAAAAGGTGTAGGACAAATTTTAATCAACTAGTATTAGAGTACGCGCGTTGCGTGTGTATCCCATATTTTAAAATTCATTCTAAAAAGACAAAAATATAGTCGACTAACTTTCAAAAGACATCTTTTTTTCTCATGATAAAAATGCAAATTGTTCGATTGTTTAAAAAAATACTATATAGGAATTGTTTCCAACATATTTGAAAAGAATAAAATATTATTGCAAAAGTAAATTATTATGGAAAAGTGGATTAATTCAACCGCTATAGTATGATTAATCCACAATTCTTTCTTTGTCAGAACATATAATCATACATCTCAAATTCTTCATTCGGATGCATCCGGATGTTGTTTTCCATGGAAAGCAAGAGTATATGTGTAACACTCCTCAAATCTATAAAAGTTTCAAGATCTGCTAAATATAGAATTTTTATTTTTTTTATCTTGCCTAAAGTGCATAAAAAATTATACTCCTATTACGGATTTAAACCCTTGTGATTAATTTTTGAGTTTCTTCTCTATTTATAAAGAATTGGATATACAATTAGGGGATTATTAATAATTTTAATGTTAGTAATTTTTAAAAGTAGGTATCATTAATTATTAGTTAAGACAAAATAAAATAAAAAGAAAAAAATAATAAATAAATAAATAAAGGCTTAAAGCCTTAGAATGGTAAGAAACGTATTTCTTTTAGAAGGGGCAAAAGGGTTGAAGGCCTTAATCAAAACACAACAAAAAAACTCTGAAGGTTGAAAAGCCTTATAGGAACAAGATAGAAGGCTTAAACTCACGCAAGCCTCATACGGAAAAGAGAAACATAACGAGAAACAGAGGCAGCAAGACTATTTACGCAGGCAACAAAAATTTTAGGGTTCTTCACAAATCACTAATTCTTGAACTTAGGTATATAAAATTCCCTATTGTCAATTATCCTAAAGTAGTAGTAGGTAAGAATTGAATAGTTAATTACCTTCTTCCTCTGTATCAACAGTAAGTTTCATGTTTAGGTGTGAATCTTTGAAATTAATTCAAATGCAATGGTTGTTGTAGAATCAATTGTTTGACGGGTATAAATTGGATTGGGGCTTATGCATTGGCTCAAGGAGTTTTGAGGTGAGTTGATATAACACTTTACTAAAGTAGTTTAACTCACAAAAGAACGCATACAAGGTGTTTGATGAATTGCTTAAAAGAGTTAATATGTACTTAATTGGAGCTATTGAGTACCTATTAACTTAGAATTGTTCTAGCTAAAGTTTAGATGATTTATTATGATATATGTGCATAAATTTTCAGATTTTTGTGTTATTCTTATATTCCATTTTCATGTTGAAAATTCATGAAAAAGCAATAATCTTTAGAAATACTTTTAAATGTTTATTTCATTCTTATGCCATGCTTTACAATTAAGGATACCGGTATGAGTATGCATAGAATGTTTCAGAAAAGATTTAGACTTGAAAAGTCACAAGAAGAAGTTTTAGAAAGAAATTTTTTTTGGGAGTATCCTCTATTCTGAGAAGGGGTCATCGTCCAGGCCGAGGGTCCTGACCAAGGCGTTGACTTCCTGAAACTACTTGTGCCAAAGTAGGGAGCACACGAGCCGAGGGTCTCGTTGCTGAGAATTTGCCTAGCCAAGCTAAGGTATAGCACATGAGCGCTGAGAACCATGAAGCGAGTGGCACCTTGTGGATTGGGCCTATTCGATCAGGTTGGGATCGAACCCGTGCCGATCACACGGTGACTGAGACAGAATTAAGTCAGGATAGTTGGAACTCCCAAAGTATAAAGTGATGTATTTTTTTTAAAAGAAAAAGAAAAGAATTTCTTTTAGAATATTCATAAACTGCTATTATACAATTATTTTAGAATTCTTCTTATAAGCTTTATGTTTTACATGCATTTAGAATTTTTACTTGTAATGTATATGTTATTAAAGTTTCGTCCCCTGTCGTTGAGACTCACTGAGTACAATGGATGGTACTGACGTTCTCTTTTGGGAACCTACATTGGTCTACGGTACAACGTAGGAACCGATTTTGCAGGCGAGCAGGCTACGGGTTAGGACTTCCCTCACTTTCAGTGCTATTGGTGAGCTCCGCTTTTGTTCGTGGAGTACTCCTTAGAGTCATCTTTATTTAGTTATTTCTTTATTCACTTAGAGAACTGGCCAGGAAATCTCATGTCCTGAGCAGTGTGTCAGTTTATCAGTAGAGGCTTCATAGACAAAGTCGGTGGGTTAAGATTCAGATGTTTTTGATAATAACTTAGCAGTATTTCAGTAGTTACTACGAATAAAGTTTTGGAGTTGATTTATTTTAAATATTTAAATTAATCAAAAGTATTTTGTTAAAGTATTGCCTTGTTGCATATAAAGTTTGAAGTTATAATAGATTTGATAAGCATAGATGGTTCGCTCGGTCATGTTTAGTGATCGGGTGCCCGTCACGGCTTGTTCAGAAAATGGGTCGTGACAAACTTGGTATCAGAGCCTCAGGTTTATGGAGTCCTAGGGAAATATGAAGTCGTGTTAGTAGAGTCTTGTTTATGGGTATGAAACGTGCCATACTTATAAACAGGAGGCTATAAGCATTTAGGAAAAGTCTCATTTTTTTTTCATACTTTAGATCGTGCAGTAGAGCCTACCTCTAAGAAATTATTTAATGTATTCGTTTCTCCAAAACTCGCAGAAATGGCTCGTACTCGCAACTCTGACACCGACACTCAGGATGCTGCTCAAGAAACTATTGCTACTATNAGAAATAGCTCGTACTCGCAACTCTGACACCGACACTCAGGATGCTGCTCAAGAAACTATTGCTACTATTGTGGCTCAAGGTAGAACTAAGAAGGCTTCAACTCAGAAAAGAAAGGGTAAATCCACAAAGGGGGTTCAAGTACCCCGGGTTGAATATGAAGAAGGGGTGGAGCATGATGATCCAGTATCTCAGGATCCAGTGCCGCCCCCAATAGCAGCTCAAGCTCAGACAGCTATATCTCCAGAGGTGGGTCACATGTTTAATGCTGTCAACAGTGCTATGGAGATATTTAAAGCCTTCATGGCCAACCAGAACGAGAGAAGAGATGAGATTCCACCTCAATCAAATAGATAGAACAATTCTGAGTCCTCAAGAGTGAATGAATTTTTAAAGTTGAGTCCTCTATTGTTCCATGGTTCTATAGCTGATGAAGATCTAATGTTGTGGCTGGAGGGTGTCAAGAAAGCCCTCCGAGCGATGAAGGCATTTGATGACGAAGCTGTGGAGCTGGCTGCTTACCAGCTTAGAGATGTGGCTGGCGCTTGGTTTGAGATGTGGGAAAAGGAAAGAGATGAAGATGATGGCCCGCATACTTGGGAAGAATTTGAAGAGGCCTTCATGGCTAACTTTATCCTGGAAGAGGATAGGGAAGCTAAGGCTATAGAGTTCGAACAACTCAAGCAAGGGAATAAAAGTGTGCAAGAGTACTACATGGAATTCATAAGGTTGGCTAAGCATGCTCCTTACATGGTTAAGACAGAAAAAGCAAAAATTCGCAGGTTTGTTGGCAATTTGGCTTACCACATTAAGGATACGACACCAGCTGCAGCGGTAGGAATGACAGCTTTCTCCTCTATTGTGGGATTCGCCAAGCACTTAGAAAGAGATAGACAACAAAGGAGAGAAGAAAAAGAGCAAAACAAGAAAGCCCGGACAGCGGGCAGGCTTAATGGTACATCCAGCGGAGGTGGAAGGGGTTCCTCTAATAAGGAGTCATTAGCACCAGCTTAGTCCAGTCATCAGTCAGGTGGTGGGTCTTCCTTCAGACGTACTCAGAGTTATGAAAATCAGTCTCACCAGAATCAGAATTTTAGGACAACATCCTCACATAGCCAGAGTCATGCTGAGCAACATTCACAACAACAAGGTCTTTGTGGAACATGTAAGCGTCAACATTCAGGTCAGTACAAGCTCGGGTTTCATGGTTGCTATCATTACGGAGACATTGGTCATATAAAGGCCAACTGCCTAAAGTTACGACGTAATTTCAGTGGTGGATCAACTCATCCTTCTAGTTCCTCAGCTACTACAGTTGCACCACCACAGGCTCGTGGTTCTTATAATCAGGCAGGGCATGGAGCAGGCAGAGGTGCAGATCGAGTTACTCAAGGAGCGGGACCACCCCGTTTGTTTGCTACACTTGATCGTCAGAGTGCAGAGGCATCTGCAGAAGTTATTACAGGTATACTTCTAGTTTGCTCACATAATGCTTATGCCATAATTGATCCAGGTTCAACGTTTTCGTACGTGACTCCATACTTTGCAATTAACCTCGGGCTAGAACCTGAACAGCTTAGTGAGCCATTCTTAGTATCTACTCCAGTTGGCAAGTCAGTGAAAGTCAAAAGAGTCTATAGAGGTTGTATATTTTCATTCCATGGTCGCAGCACCGAGGCCGATCTCATAGAGTTAGAAATGGTGGATTTCGATGTGATCATGGATATGGATTGGTTGTCTTCTTGTTATGCCATGTTAGATTGTCGTGCCATCAGGTTCCAATTTCCAAATGAAGAAGTCTTAGAGTGGAAGGGTAGTTCAGCATCGCTGGTAGGTAAGTTTATTTCTTACCTTAAGGCACAAAGAATGATTGGTAAGGGGTGTCTCGCCTATTTGGCTCACATCATTAATCTAGAATCAGAACCACCAGCTCTTCACTCTGTGCCAGTTGTTACAGAATTTCCAGAAGTTTTCCCAGATGACCTTCCCGGACTTCCTCCTGAAAGAATCATAGACTTTGGCATCGATCTCATGTCAGGAACTCAGCCCATATCTATACCTCCTTATAGGATGGCTCCAGCAGAACTTAATGAGTTGAGAGAACAGTTGAAAGACCTTCTTGACAAGGGATTTATCAGGCCGAGTGTTTCACCGTGGGGTGCCCCGGTCCTGTTTATCAAGAAGAAAGATGGGTCTCTCAGAATGTGCATTGACTATCGGCATTTGAATAAAGTTACCATTAAGAACAAGTATTCACTTCCAAGAATTGATGATTTATTTGATCAACTTCAGGGTGCAATGTACTTTTCAAAGATAGACTTGAGGTCGGGTACCACCAGTTGAGGATCAGAGAAGAGGATATATCTAAAACAACCTTTAGAACTCGCTACGGGCACTATGAATTTCTAGTAATGTCCTTCGGGTTGACAAATGCTCCAGCTGCATTCATGGATCTCATGAACAGAGTTTTCAAGCCATTCCTTGATACCTTTATTATCGTGTTTATAGATGATATTTTGGTATACTCTAAGAGCAAGGATGAACATGCCGAACACCTCAGGATAGCCTTGTAGACCTTGAAGGAGAATGAGCTTTATGCCAAGTTTTTAAAATGTGAGTTCTGGTTGCAGTCCGTGGCATTCTTAGGCCATGTGGTATCTAGTGAAGGCATAAAAGTAGATCCTCAGAAGACAGAAGCAGTCAAGAACTGGCCTAGGCCGACAACGCCAACCGAAATCAGGAGTTTCTTGGGGTTAGCTGGATACTATAGAAAGCAGTTAAGTTCCAGTGTATAGAAGGTTTGTAGAGGGATTTTCCTCACTTGCAGATCCATTAACTAAGTTGACTCAGAAAGCAGTTAAGTTCCAGTGGTCAGATGCTTGTGAGCAGAG